CTAACCAGCATTGTTATTTACTTAAACCTTTAAGGCTTGCCCTTAATCTAAATACAGTTTTCCAGACTAAGAGCATTGTAGAAACAGCCGGGATTCTGACATGGCGACCTAAGGGTTGTGCCTCATGAGGTTTTTAACAGTGTGGTGATGGAATACATTTGAATTCCTAACAAATTTCTAGCCTTTCTGAGACAAGTCAACTGAGCCGCTCTGATTCCTAGGTTGGAGTATTTTCTCCACAACATCAACTAAAGAAGGCCAATAAATGATGAGCAACAATTCAGGGTTTTGCCACCATCTGGGGGGAAATGCATCCCATCCCCCAGTGCCTTGAGCAGGGGCTGAGCAGAGATTTTCTCTTCTCTACGTTTGCATCCTGTTCTTCAGTCCAGATCCCTGTTCTTCTCAGGTCTGCACACTTGAATGAGCTCCCCACTCCCCCACCCCAGAGAATTCCACACACAGGCTCCTACTAAATTGAATTTCCTGAGCCTCAGGAAGGACCGGGATTTAATTAAGGGCCTTGCATATTCTTCACCTTTATAGGTCTTCTTTCCTATGGATTCTCTGATGCTAAGGAGTGTGAAGCATCACTAAAGGTATTGTACAGTCTCTGTGTCTGCAGAGTTTGGCTCCAGTGTCAACACAAAAATATAGCTCTCGAATCAAAGAGAATAAGACATAGTTTATCTTGGATACAACTACAAGCAACTGTGACCCAGAAATGCAGATCTGGGTTACCCCTATACCATGTTCCAATATAGTAACAGTTTTATGGAGATTTTATAGTTACAGAACAAGAGAAAGACATACATCAAGACACTTAAAATTGTTACATTCATTTAGTGCCCCTGAGTGCATGTAGATTCAGAGAAGAGTTTGTGGGACTCCACAAACTCTGCTTTGTGGGTGGGCCAGCACTGCAAGCATGTCATTGGACTGGCAGTCAACATCTTTACCTGATGAGCATCTCATAGGCCTCAGGGTGCTTTTCAAATCCGTGTGTGGGACCAGGAGAAAAGTGAAGGAAATCTCTGTTACAGATTTTAGATGTTATCTTAGCTCTGGGGGTTGGTGGAAGCTGAGTCTGTTAATGTAATATGTCCCGAAAGTTTTACATGACAGGCAGAAGGATGTAAGGCCAGATACAGAGGTGAACAAATATTGGCTATTAAGGGGACTAAAGACAGCCCAAGAGAATTTGCCTGTGGATCTGCCCCATGCCAACTCTCCATAATCGCAAAATTATGTTAATCAGCCATGCAGAATCTTTAACTTAGGTGTGGCTTTCCCTGGGAACATCAGTTCAGACCAGTATATGTTCTTTGGCGGCCACTTGGTAAAGGCTTTACTTCGTACTTCACTTGCTGGGTTTCTTCATATATGGATAATGTATGAACCCTTTGGTGCTATGTTTTCATTCCCTCACTATTGGGTGTGTGGCTGTGAGGTTCTCATTAGTGGTCTTTATTTCTTTGAGAAAGTTCTCTTCCATTTCTAGGTTATTGAGAATTTTATCATGAAAAGGGCTTTTTCCCCCCTTCATTTTTTTTTTTTTTTGGTATGTGTATGAGTGTTTTGTCTGCAGGTATGTCTGTGTACTACATGCATGCAGTACCCTTAGATGCCAGAAGAGGGCATCCGGTCCCTGAAACGAGAGTCAAAGATCTTGTACGCCACTGTTTGGGTGCTGGGAACTGAACCTGGGTCATCTGGAATAGCAATCAGTGCTTTTAACCTCTGAGCTGTCTCTCCAGCCCCTTATAAAGGCCTTTCTTTTCCTTCATCTTTTTATTATTTTTTAAAATGTTATGTGTTTTGCCTGCGTGCATGTATGTGTACCATGTGTTTGCCTGCTGACCGTGGAAGTCAGAAGAGAACCAGCAGCTTCTGATGCTGGCTGGGGTTACAGGTTTGTGCCACCACATCTACATCCAGCAAAGATTTCTTTCATTAACTGAAATGATTGTTTCTTCTCCTTCATTCTAGTAATCTGCTGTATTGCATGTGTTGATTTTTGTTGTTGTTGTTGCTGTTTTTGAGACAGGATCTCATGATGTAGCCTTGATGGCCTAGAACTCAGTATGTAGACCAGGCTGGCCTCAAACTCATGGAGATCAGCCTGGCTCTGCCTCCCAGTTGCTAGGATTAAAGGAGTCTGTCATGCCATGATTTGCAATCTCTTTAATATGCTGCTTTGTTTGTTTCTTAGTGTTCTGCTGAGAGTTTTTTGCATATATACTCTCTGCTCTATCCCTCCCTCCCTCCATGTGTGTGTGGATGTGGGGGCTGTATGCCAGCAAGCCCATCTTTGGTTCTTTCTATAACTTTTATTTAATTAGTTAATTAATTAATTAATTAATTTATGAGAAAGGGTCTCATACACTCCAAACTGGCCTTGATATATAGCTGAGGATGACCTTTAAACACCTGCTCCTAGACTGGGCATGGTGACACATATCTTTAATCCCAGCACTCGGGAGGCAGAGGCAGGCAGATCTCTGAGTTTGAGGCCAGCCTGGTTAATAGTGAGTTCTAGGACAGCCAGAGCTACATAGTGAAACCCTGTCTCAAAACAAACACCACCCAAAACTGCTGATCTTCTTGCTTCCAACTCAAGAGCTGGGATTACAGGGTTGTGCCCCATGTCCAGATTCTGTGGTGCTATGATTTCCTTCTGCCAACTGGAGTACATTCCCAGCCTTCTCAGTGATTGAGACACTGTTCTTCCAGTTTCTTTCACTTCTTTGTCTGTGATTTCCTTTATTTTTTCAAGGACATTATGAGTAGTTGATTTTAAGTTTTTGTTTGGTAAACCCAGAGCCCCAAATCTTGTGCTTCCTCGGGGACTTTTATTGGTGTGAATGGGATGTTTTATTAGTTCTTTGTACGTTTCACTGAAAACAGGAAAACAGGTTACTTCTTTATTTGTTCTTTTTTTGAGACGGGTTTCTCTGTGTAGCCCTGGCTGTCCTGGATCTCGCTCTGTAGACCAGGCTGGCCTCCAAGATCCACCTGCCTCTGCCTCCTGAGTGCTGGGATTAAAGGCCTGTGCCACCACCGCCGGTCACAGGCAAGACACTGTACACATAAAACAAAGTAAAAGTTTTGACAAAGGACATCCTTCCCAAGCTTACTTCTCATCTTTCCTCCCTGCCTTTCTTTCGGTGTGTCAATTCTTTGTCTCAGCTATGATCTCCCCCGCCCCAGGTGGTCATGGCTGCTTCCCTTAGCTTACAATATATTCCTTCATTTGTTTAGATCTATTTATTTATTATGTACACAATGTTCTGTCTGCATGTATGCCTGCACACCAGAATAGGGCATCAGATCTCCTTATAGATGGTTGTGAGCCACCAGGTGGGTACTGGGAATTGAACTCTTGAGACCCCAACATGAGCAATGCATGGCACACAGCAGGCATCCCCAAACTGTCTGTTGACTGAATGTAGATTTTTCAATAGCTCCTTGAAATATTTTTTCAGATTTATTTTTATTTTATACCTATGAGTGTTTTTCATGCCTGGCATCCATGGAGGCCAGAAAAGAGCTTCAGATCCCCTGTAACTTGAGTTAGAAAAGTTTTGAACCACTGTGTAGGAACCAAATCCAGATCCTCTGCAAGAGCAGCAAATGCTCTTAACCACTGAGCTGTCCCTCCAGCCGCCCCACTTTCCTTTTGAGACCAGAGTCTCACTATGTAGCCACGGCTGGCCTGGAACTTGCAGGTGAGTGTGAGCTGCCATGTGGGTGCTTGGAACTGAACCCAGGTTCTCTGCAAGAGCAACAAGTCCTCTTGATGGCTGAGCCATCTCTCCAGCCCTATTATTTTTAATATTAGATACTAAGATACATTTAGTTAATAGGTGTATTTATCCACACATACAATAATTTAATATTGTAATAAAATATACACAAAAATTATTACTGTTACATATTTTTAATTGTTTTTAATTATGTGTATGTGTGTGTGTCTATGTGTGGGTTTTTGTAGGTGAGGGGCCACAGAGGGCAAAGGTGTCAGATCCCTTATAACTGAAATTACAGGTGGTTGTGAGGTGCCTGATGTGGGTGCTGGGAATCAAATTCAGGTCCTCAGGAAGAGCAGTTCATGCACTTAAATCCCTGAGCCATCTCTCTAGCCATACTCCCTCCACCCCTTTTTGAGACAGGATCTTGCTATGTAGCTCAGGCTTGGCTCTGAACTTGTACGACCCTCCTGCCTCAACCTCCAGAGGCTAAGCCTAAAGGCACACACCAACTCACCCAAAATATTGCTTTCACCACTTTAAGTGTACCATCCAGTAGTATTAAGGGCATTCACTTGCTGGTGATTATAGACAGTTAGTTCTACCACCCATGTTCAAGATGTTTCACTGTGCAAAACTAAAACTTCTGTTTTTTCTTTATTTTATTTTGAGACAAGGCCTTGGCATATTGCCTTGGCTGGCCTGGAACTTGCTATGTAGACCAGACTGGCCTCAAAAACACAGACATTCACCTGCCTTTGCCTCTGCCCAGCAAACACATAACTTTGAATCCATTAAACAATCATTCCCTATCTCATGCTCTCTCCAGTCCCTGGCAGCTATCATTTTCTGTCTCTGAGCTGGTCTGCATCTCACGACAGTGAGATAGTATGCTGTTATATTGTGCAAGACATGTTGGACATACGTGCAACTGTCTATTGTCTTCTGCCTCTTATAACGGTGGAATCATGTGCTGTTTTCTAGTGCATCTCACTAGGTTGAATCACTTGTCTTCTGTGTCTCTTATAGGAGGAATCATCCTCTATTGTTTTGTGCATCTTATGTCACTGGAATCATATGCTGTTTTCTTTTCTATTGCTTACAGGTACAGTCATTTCCTACTGTCTTTGTGACTCATGGGGGTGGAATCATCTGCTGTTTTCTTGTGCATCTCCTTTTGCTGCAATCACATACTACTGCCTTGTGTATTTCATACAGGTGGAACCATAAACTATCACCGTATGCAGTTCATGCCCACAGAATCACAGGCTGTTGTATTGTGAATCTCATAGAGGTGGAATTTACATGTTATCTTTTGCATTTCATATCGGTGGAATAATTCATTTTCTGGTGCATCTCATTTTGCTAGAATATGCTATTTACCTCATATAGGTGGGAAGACATGCTATTTTCTTGTGCATCTCGGTTAGCTGGGATTATTAGGTGGCTGTCCGGTGGGAAGGGGCAGCCACTTGGGCAAGATGGTGGCATGTGTGCTAGTCTGGGGCTCCGAGCCAGGATTTGAGGTCAGTCAGCTTGCAGTGGGTGATTCCATTTGGCCGACTGACTCTTCTTCTTAGGACATGTTCTCTTGATTCATCCTTTCTCTTCAGATTTTTCATTTGTCCAGTGGTCTCTGGATTCTTTAGTTGGATGCTTTTATTCTCCTGGAAAGATAAAACAAAAACTTTGCCCCAACCCTAACCCTGGAGGGTTCTTTTTATGGCAGGTTATACTTTTCCTATGGCAAAATGTTTTTTGGCAACAGAAAACTATTATCTTTCAATTAAAAAAATTATTTTGAAAATTTGAAACTAAATATACCTTAGTATGGTTATACAAATACACTAAATGTCCCCTTAGTATATGTGGATAAATACACCTATAACTAAATGTCCCTTAGTATGTGTGAATAAATACACCTATATGGTGATATTTTATTTGTATTAAAATGTTATTTGTATGTTAATAAATAAAGTTGCCTGGGGGTCAGAGCTATTAGCAAGCCATAGGAAAGCAGGTGGCGTACTCTTGTAATCCCAGCACTTGGTAGGCAGAGCTGGGTAAGTCTCTGTGTGTTCAGGGATACAGCCATTATTGGATACACATGCCTTTAATCAATACCAATCATGGAAAACCTGGAGGCCTATACAGACAGGCCGTGAGGAGGCGGTCATGTGGTTGGGTTTACAACCAATGAGAAGGCAGAACAGGAACTATATAAAGACTTTAACACAAGGGGTAGTTCTGGTTTGGAGAGGTAGGACTACCGCAGGAGGAAGGGTAAGGTTTTAGTTCTTAGCTCTGACCTCTTGGCTTTCTTCTTTGCATTGGTTCTGTGTTTCTTATTTAATAAGAAGGTTGGTTACATCTACACACCTATAACTAAATGTCCCTTAGTATGTGTGGATAATACACCTATAACTAAATGTCCCTAAGTATGTGTGAATAAATACACCTATAACTAAATGTCCCTTAGTATGTGTGGATAAATACACCTATAACTAAATGTCCCTTAGTATGTGTGAATAAATATACCTATAATTTCCCTCCCAAACTTCCCTCTCCTCTCTGTTCTCACTCTCACCCTTCCCATGAGTCCCTGGATTACACTATTTTGGGTGAGTCAGTTCTACTTCTATTTTGTGTGTGTGTGTGTGTGTGTGTGTGTGTGTTTATGTGCATATACACACACCCTCTCTCTCTCTCAATTTCCTGTATCTATATAAAATCCTAGAACCTAACACACATATTTATCTTTCTAAGGCTGACTTAATTCACTAAATATGATTATCACTAGCTGTACTTATTTTCCTGCAAATATCACAACTTTGTTCTTTTCTTTTCTAAATCTTTATTTAATGTGGTGTGTGTGTGTGTGTGTGTGTGTGTGTGTGTGTGTGTGTGTGTATGTGTGTGTGTGAGCGCGTGCGTGTGGAGCTCACAGGACAACTTTCAGAAGTCTGTTCTCTCCTTCCAGCATGGGTTCTGGGGATAGCACTCAAGTCTTCAAGCTTGTATTTTTAACTACTGAGTCATCTCTCAACAGCAATTTTTGTTCTATGTTTCTTTTGTTTTGTTTTTCGAGACAAGGTTTTACTGTGTATCTTTGGAGCCTGTCCTGGAAGTCGCGCTGTTGATCAGGCTGGCCTCGAACTCACAGATATCCGCCTGCCTCTACCTCCTGAGTGCTGGGATTAAAGGCGTTTGCCACCCCCAACTGTTTTATGTTTCTTTCTTTCTCTCTCTCTCTTTTTCCTCCCCACCCCCCCAAACAGGGTTTCTCCGTGTAGTTTTGGTGCCTGCAGGGGCAGGAAGATCAAGAGTTCAAGGCCAACCTCATAACAAATTTGTAGTCACCCTGTACTACACAAGACCATGTCTTAAGAGCCCCGTAAGGCCGGGCGGTGGTGGCGCATGCTTTTAATCCCAGCACTCGGGAGGCAGAGGCAGGCGGATCTCTGTGAGTTCGAGGCCGGCCTGGGCTACCAAGTGAGTTCCAGGAAAGGCGCAAAGCTACAACAGAGAAACCCTGTCTGGAAACAACAACAACAAACAAAAAAAAAAAAAAAAAAGAAAGAAAGAAAGAAAATGAGGGGAGACAATCTTATCCCCGGGACATGATTATTGTGGCTTATGCAGAATTATTCATTTTGTTATTTGGGTTTAGTTTTAGGGGGATCCTAGGCTACACTCAACTGACCTTTAACTCCTGACCCCCCAGCCTCCACCTCGAGTGCTGGGGTTACAAGACTGCGCCGCCACACCGGCCCGAGTGAGGATTTGAACCTGAATTCCCGGCTCCGTCTTATGCTGTTTGAGGTAAGACGATCTCCCCCTCTAAAAGGCGTGCAGAGTGAGGTGAGACTCCCCTGTCGAGCAGACTTGCAAGTCTAGGGTCCTGTGCATTTAGGAGCCACTAAGAGCCAAAGGCCAAGCCAAGGTGCAGACCTTAGGTATCTGAGAGGGCAGAGAAGAGCAGAGCCAAAATACCACTCGCAGAGTGGAGGAGTGGAGCCCCGCCCCCGTCCTTCCCAGAGGACCCCAAACCCTTCCCGGAAACTTGGGCGCGGCCGGGCTGTGCGAATGGCACAGGTCGCGGGCAAGCAACAGAAAAGTGACTTTGGTGAGGTTCCGCCGAAACCCTCCTCGGGAGGGAAACCTGAGGTGTCCACGACGGCTAGCACGGACTCCCTAGCCTGTTTCTGGTTTCCTCACCTCCCCGCGAGCTATTTCCTTTACTTGGCCCCTAGAGCAAATTTCCTTTTGGTTTGGCCTGACCCAGTCCGGGGAGAAGCCAGCCAGAGCCCGCGTGGCCACCGCGCAAGCGCGTCCCGACGGAGTTGGGGAGGGGCCGGAGCCGGTGTACGCGAGCATGGGCCCCGCCCCTCCGCCGCGCCGTCCGTGACGTCACGGGGCGCCGGCCTCCGCCCGGCTGCAAGCGGTGAGAGCTATCGGCGGTCGGACCTGAAGCCGCTGGATCGGGAAGGGATGCGGGTGTCGAGATCCTTCTGGAGGGGGCTTTGGGGAGGACGGGAGGTCGAGATGCACCAGCCGCTACTGCCCTTCAGACTCTGCCCGCCCTCCTCCTACCCTACCCCTTGCAGAAATGCCGGGCCGCGGGGGCCGCGCAGGGACCGAACATATGTGACACCTGCGTTTTCTCGGTGGCTTCCACTCTCTCCTCCCACTCCTTATGCTGATCTCCTGCCTTCCAGATGTTTATTTTCATCAGTCTATCGCTTCTTGCCTGGATAGGGTACTCGGAAGTTGGAGACGGATTTCAAACCTTAGCCCTGCCACGTCTGTGTTAAAAGTCCCTGAGCCACAGTATTTCTTCTACTGGCTTCTTCTGGTCTTAAGGATCAGTATGGCACCAATAAAAAGAAAGGAGATGGACGTCTGTTGAATTCCTGCATGGTCATGTTTACCGAGCAAACTGCTGCCCCTTCGAATCCTCATTACTTGATGTTCTTAGAACTCCCATTTCACATCTTAACTTCACTTAGTGAGCAGCGAGAGAGAGTCCTTCCTACCTAACTGGTTAGTTTAGCTCCACAGTAGGAACTTTGAACCCAGACGCTTCCGGTCTGGATTCTGGTTGGACTGTTTGTCTGCCAAACTCCTAGCCCCAGATCAACTACTTCCTCTTTTCCAGCTGAGAATTCTTTTCACATCCCCTTTGCTAGTACAGAATGCTGCTCCCTGCTTCTCCCTTGGTTATTTCAGAAACGAAACAGAGCAAGCATTTCTTACATGCTCTAAGGAGATGCACGTTTTGAGTACAGAATCTTGGATTTTGGTCCTGGCTTTGCCACCTAATGTGTGGCCTTGAGCAAATCCATTGTCTTCTAGCTTTGGCTTGTCTTTGCATAACATGGGTGAGGGCCTTCTGACCTGCAGGCTCTTGTCCAGTTCTCCCTCACTGTCCTCCAGCAGGCACTCCACGGAGGCCCAGACCCCTCTGCTCCCCATGGGCAGCTGCCAGGCAGGGCACAACCTGCATCTCTGCCTGGCTCATCACCCACCTCTGGTCTGTGCCACTTTGATCCTGCTGCTCCTTGGCCTCTCCGGCCTGGGCCTCGGTGGCTTCCTCCTCACCCATACATCTGGCCTACGTAGCCCTGACATTCCCCAGGTAAGTACGCGGGTGCTCACCCTTCTGGTGTGTGCCTGCCCCCGCTGCTAATCTCACTTCTCTCTCACTCTCCTTTGCGCACAGGATTGGGTTTCCTTCTTGAGGTCTTTTGGCCAGCTCAGCCTGTGCCCTGTGAATGGGACAGTCACAGGGAAGTGGCGAGAGCCTCACGTCATCGGCTTGCTGACTACTTTGAACTTCGGAGATGGTCCAGATAGGAACAAAACCCAAACATTCCAAGCCAAGATCCATGGTAGTCAGATAGGATTGAAAGGTGAGATCTGGGGAGCATAGGGTCCAGCATCAGAACACTTAGGGTTGGGCCAGACTGGTGACCGTGGGCACATCTGTGCCTCTTAGTTACTCCTACTGTAATACAACTAGATAGGATAAGATACTTGCAGTGAATGTTGTCCACAGTATAGGTTCTGTGTTTTGGCTTTGCTGTTCAGTTCCAAATTTCTTCAGTTCTGTCCTAGAATGCCCCAGGAGCCTTAGGTTTAAAACCAAATACTCCTCCCCACTATGCATATGTAGAGAGAGATGGAGACAGAGCTCATGCATGCCTGTTCTGCCTGGGTTACACAGTGAGTTCTAAAACTACCTCACGTGCATATATATGACAGCTTTGAAGTATGAGTCACATGCCAATGTGTAGTTCACCCATTTAAAGTATACAAGCAAGTTACTTTTAGTCTGTTTACACAGCTGTGGAGTACCTTGAAATCCATTTTAGAACTTTTTTTTTCTTTAATCATGAGTGGATCTGTACCTTGACTGTCCTTGTCCCCTTTCCTCCGGGTTCCCAGGTCCCCACAAGTCTACTTTCTGTCTCTGGTGGTCTGCCTCTTCTGGACTTTGTTACAACATGCAGTCCTTTGTGACTTAAGATTTTTAAGGCTCTTCATGGTGCTGCATACTTTTAATCTCTGCATTGGGGAGAACAAGGTGGGCAGGCAGATCTCTACAAATTCTGGGCCAGCCTAATCTACATAGCAAGCTCCAGGCCAGCCAAGGCTACATAATGAGAACCTTTCTCAAAAAAAAAAAAAAAAGAAAGAAAGAAAAAAAAAGAAAGGAAGAAATTATGCTATTCTTAAACACTAGTTTCTGTGTGGACATACATTTTAGTACTATTGAGAGTACAGGCACAAGTGGAATATAGGATAGCTCTGTGGTTAATCTTATTTTGTTTTGGTTTTTTTGAGACAGGGTTTCTCTGTGTATCTTTGCGCCTTTCCTGGATCTCACTCTGTAGACCAGGCTGGCCTCGAACTCACAGAGACCTGCCTGCCTCTGTCTCCTGAGTGCTGGGATCAAAGGCCCACCATCACCACCACCACCACCACCACCACCACCACCACCACCACCACCACCGCCTGGCCCTGGTCTATTATTTTGATTGCTGTAAATTGATCCATTAAATGGTTAAGCCATCATTTTTTGTTTTCTCCAGTAAATAACACTGTTGTTTCCAATTTTTTTGTACTTGATAAAAGCAAAGCAAACATCTTAATGTATGTTGTTTGTGTTTTTTCTTTTGCTGCTGCTTAAGAATGAGCCCCAAACCCGGGGTGGGGTGGGGTGGGGTAGGATAGGGTAGGGCATGCCTTTAATCTCAGCACTTGGAAGGCAGAGCCAGGCGGATCTCTGTGAGTTTGAGACCAGCCTGGTCAACAGAGTGAGATGCAGGACAGCCAAAGCTACACAGAGAAACCGTGAAAAAACAACACAACGAAAGAATGAGCCCAAGGGTTTCATATATACTATGCATATGCTCTGCCATTGAGCGACACCCCTAGCTCTTAACATACTTGCATTTTTTTAAAGTCCTTTCCTTAGGATTAGTTTCTATCAGTAATATAAATGAATCAAAGGATGTAGGCCTTTTTCTTTTCTTCCCTGCCCCCACCCCCACCCCCACCCCCGGAGCTGAGGACCAAACCCACGGCCTTGCGCTTGCTAAGCAAGTGCTCTACCACTGAGCTAAATCCCCAACCCCTTTTCTTTCTTTTTTTAAAGTTCATTTTAATTTATTATTGGTGTAAGGGGGTAGTCAGGACACCTTTGTGTAGTTAGTTCTCTCCTTCCACCTTTACCTGGCTTCTGGGCACCAAATGTCAGTCCTCAGACTTACAAGGCAAGGACTTTTCGAGGCTGAGCCATCTTATCTGCCCCCTTCTTTCTTTAATACTGTACATTTGCTTTTTTGGTGTTTGTTAGTTTGTGACAGGGTTTCATTAGCCAAGGTTAGCCTCAAACTCACTGTGTTGTTAGAAATGGTGTTGAACTCGTGATCTGCCTGCCTGCTTGCTTCCACTGTCCCGGTGGTGCGATTACAGATTATGGTACGACTCTTAACCTCTACCGCTTCGTGGTCCACAGGCGCTTTACCGACTGGGCTGCATCCCCAGCCATGGAGAAATTCAGACCACACAGCTAGACAGAGCAAATGTAAGCTCACCAACAGTTTGGTGAGCATCCTCTTTGCTCGTCTAAAATGATGATAGAAGTTGGATGATAGCTGATGTCTATAATCCCAGCAGCTGGGAGGTTGAGTAGGAGGATCGCCATGAGTTCTAGGCCAACATGGCTAGATAATGGTTACTGGGCTACTCTGGGCTCCAAGCAAACAACAAAATTTTGGTTTTGTGTCTTTTGTAGAAATGCCTTCAACACTGGCATATAACCTGTGTTTTCTTTAATCCTTTCTGAAAGCTTTCCTTGGTTGGTATGTTCTTTACTACATCTGAGCTACCTATACAGTGAGATGACAGTCTAACTCTGTATTTTTCTGATGCAAATGGCCCCAAAGCTACTTACTGAGTAAGCCATCTTTGTCCAGTCATTTGAAATAGGGTGTGAACCTTTCATGGATTTTGGTGCCTAGTGGATAACGGCTTTCTTTAAAAGGAGAAGTTAACTTTTCAATATTTATTTATTGCAAAGATTTAATTTTTGTTTTTTTGTTCTTTGTTTGTTTGTGTTTTTGTTTTTAATTTGGCTTGGTTTCTCTGTGTAGCCCTGGCTGTCCTGGAACTTGCTCTGTAGACCAGGCTGACTTCAAACTCAGAACTCCACCTGCCTCTGCCTCCTGAATGGTGGGATTAACCACGCCTGGTTTGCATGTGTGTATGTGTGTGTGTTTGTTTGTTTACCAGAGGAGACCTGAAGAGGGGATCAG